GGGCAGAAACAGACAGGGGAAAAGCCTGCATTGGGAGGCAGGGGTAGACTTTCCAAAGGTATTGGAACAGAAGAGAGGACAGTGGTCAAGAAAAGCGGCAGATTCTGCAATGAAGAGTGGTGGGGAGGGGGAAGGCATTGGGGGCGTGGGCGGACTAGATGACCTCTTGAGTGTATTGAAGATCTTTCCTGTATGGATATTTTACATGGAGAGGTGGAAGGTGAAGCAGATGATGTCTGAGTGTGTCGAATGTATCTCCTGTATAGAGATTCTGCGTTGAGTGGTGGTGGGTGGACTAGATGACTTCTGGGTGTGTCAGAGATATATGTCATATAGAGGTTTTACACTGACTGATGGAGGGTGAATTAGATGACCTCTGAGTGTGTCAAAGTTATATGGTGTATAGCAATTTACCCTGAATGGTGGAAGATGAACTTGATGAACTTTATGTGTGTTGAAGATGTATGCTGGATATAGATTCTGTGTTGATATAGTTTATATAGTTATTTATTTTATTGTTTATAGTTTATATAGTTATTTATTTTATTGTTCCCCAGCCTGGCTGGGGAATTCTGGAAGTTGAAGTCCACCTATCTTAAAGTTGCCAAGGTTGAGGAACCCTGGACTAGATAGAGGTCATTCTATCTATTGAGTACATTCAAATTCTGTATCCTCTCACTGACTGGGCCCACTTCCTTCCCTACCATCTTACTGCTGTTCCAGATCCCCTTTGCCTTGTCTCTTTCTCCTCCCAGTCAATAAAGGAAGTGAGCCTCAGCAGATCCCTAATAATTCTGCCTCTGGTTCTATTCCGGCCTGTCTGAATAAGATGCACTATCAGCTGTCATTTCCTCTCATATTTACAATCCATGTTTTTCCCTCTCCTGAAAGAAGAAAGAAGAGCAGGATTTTGAAAAAAGCAATACTGTAGATACAACCGTAGCAAAACAGCAGCCTAAACAGCCATCATCTATAAACAGTAAATAAAAAAGAATGCAAGATCCGTGATCAGCCGTGGATGAAAACCATTTGGCTGTCTAGAAAAGGCCTATAAAGCAATTATATTCAATAGCAATTCATTTCAATAATGAATTTCTGCACATTTCATCATCTTCCACTTTGCACTCTCAGGCTGCAACTAACAGTAACTAACTCGGAGAAGTTAGTTGCCAATTCATCTGCTTCTCTTCCCCCCCCCTTTTTTTTTGTCTATTTTAAAACATTTAAAGAATAAAATAAATAACTGTATAAAATAAAAAAGAAAAGACAGAGTGGCTGGAAAATAAAATATCAATAAATAATTAATCTACAGTTGTCATAAAATTTAGAATTCATTATTTCATGGATTAGATAATTCACTGACTATATCAAACTAAAATCATCCTATCATCTCGAGAAATAATTGTAAATCACTACAAAACTCTATAAACAGGGATATTTATATTGATGTCACCACTGTTTAACTTTATTTAAAATAAATGCCCATGATCTTAGGAAAAGAAATAAAACGGAGAAGAAAAAATTTAAAAAGTACTCAGAACAATTAGTAAAAACAGTATTAAGTTCTAAATCTCCCATTGTATCCAACTGGTGATTACATCAAATTATTTATAAACGTTAAAATTGCTTCTGGTTACTGTCTTTATATCAAATATTTCCCCCTTAAAAATGTACTCTAAATCTCTGAATTTGCTTTGTGGTATGAGACTCATCTGCTTCTCTTCTCTTTCAGGGAAGGGCTAACTTTTGTCTCCGTGCATGACTGCTTCTGGACGCACGCAGCCACGGTCGACTTAATGAATAAGGTAAGATGCTGCCACACGAACAAATCTCGCTGTATCCTTCCTTGGTCTAAGACAGTGTTTCTCAACCTTGGCCACTTGAAGAGGTGTGGACTTCAACTCCCAGAATTCCCCATGGCTGGCTGGGGAATTCTGGG